GTGTGCACAAACCTCCCCCTCCCCCCCAAGTGCCCCCGGAGTGCGGATTTAGCGATCCGCACTCACGGGGGCAACTTGGTTATTAGTATAAGGATTATATGTATAGGTTTTTTGTTGGCAATAGTAGCAACAATATCAAATAGCAAATGGGTCTAGGTAATTGTTGCACAGCTACCACTTGCTTGAGCATATTAGCCACACACAAAAAAAGCCAATGTTTGCAGTGGCCACAGTTTGGGTTTGGAGTGCTTTTGGATCTAAGCTGGATTCCATGTCCCACTCAAGATGCTGGTTCTGACTCTGATCCTTAAAATCTTCTATGCCCTGGGACCAACAAAGATTAGGAACCAACTCTGCACTGCTCCATATATACTGGTTACATGAAATAGAATGTCAGTGGCAATATGGTGGAGCCTTCATGGAAGCTTCCTCTAAGGCTGATCTTTCGGCGAACTTTAGAAGTTCCACTTGTGTCCTGGCTTCCCATAAACCCAGGCATTTCAGTAATCATCAATAATATTATTTAAAGAATTTGAAGTGTGTAAAGATTGAAAGAAAAGTAAAAAATATACTAAAAGAAACTGAATTTAAAAAATATGTTAAGGTTAAACCCTGCTCTCATTTTGGAATCAAAGAGTCAGCAGATTGCTGGAGGATGAGAGATGTGTAAAGTTAAGAAAAATAAGGCAGTATGAAGGTTCTATATTATTGACAGGAAGGTTGTAATAGTTTTCTGAAAAGTTAGTAAGTAAACTTTAAGGAAATTGTAATAGTAGGTTTTACTCAACACAGAAGAGATTTTCAAATGGAAGATGTGTTCAAAATATGCATGTAAATATAGTTGGATTGGTTCATTACTCTGTGCTGATGGTGAAGATAAGTGTTGTTATAGGATCTTTTATGTAATCTTGTTGTTGATTTTGTTGATATGTATGAGACAGGCTGATATTATAAACCCCAATAAATATATTGTTACAGGGGAAAAAATAATATTATTTATTGGCTGCTGCTATGTTCAGTTAACACCTGTGATGTCCTACTGTAATAGGATTTCAACTGGTTCCTTAGCCATGCTATGGTTACATTTTTTTATGAGATATTTTAGAACCAGGAAAAAATCCAGCATATACATTATTTAGTTAAATTTTGGAATTCAATAAGATTATGAAGCCAGTTTTCAGATACCATCCAATTGGTGCAGATCAGCTGGATTTAGTAAGGGCTAGTTATTTTGGGACCTGGCTGATCTTATGACTGCTAAAGTTCACAGTGGTATATTAGTGTTCCCTGATTCCATTCATCAGCAGGAGCCCAGAAAGTGTTCCTGGAAAAGATAGGTACATAGACATTTTCCCCAGATTACCATATGGTAATCTGCGGCTTTTTAGAGGCTTTTTAGAGGCTTTTTAGAGGCGCAGCAAATTGAAGCGTGGCAGCGGGATAAGACAGATCCCCCAAGCTGAGCCGCATTTGCTCCCCGCCATGATCATATGCCGAGGGGGAAGCGATGGGATGAAGGGCAAGGTGAGGCAGCTGCGCAGTTGGGCCTCGCATACCACTGGATACAGGCACGTCGATGATCACATGCCCGCCTGTGCTGCGCGTTTCCAAGTAGGTAGTAGTGTTTTGCTGATATCTTTTAAATCCACGTTTTCGGCTGGAAGGGACGGGTTGGGGGCGGGGGCATGATGATTGCCAGATGTTGGCATCTGATCGCGCCGGTTTAATCCGCCCTCAAGCCCGTCCGTTTCGCGGGGCAAATCCTCCCGTGTGACCGGGGCCGAAGTCAACAAAAAGTCCACTATTCAAAGATACACAGCCCACTCTATTCTAGAGTGGTCCCTGTCAACTGTGTAGAGAGTTGGGAACAACATGAGAGAAACAACCCACATGTGCATACTGTAGGGACTCAGAGGAGAGTGCCTAGCTCCTCAAATAAGAACCACTGACCCTATTTTTATACTTAAAAAAACAACAACTCAACAGTAAAATGCTTATCACAGATATGTCAAAGGCATAATGAGGGCTTAATTTTACATTGTGACCATTCCCACATGGTTTATCTGCTCTGGGTTCAAGACCGTTAGGAACCAGGGTTTTTTTCTTGCTTCCCCCACAGCATCATGGTGCATTCTGGGATCCCTGGCTTCACTCCAATTTTTCTCAAACCTACTTTGCCATAAAGTTGTGGGAAAGATCACAGTAAACAAGGATGGCTACTGTGCTGGTGGGTAAATTTGGATTATCCCACCCCTGGGTCCAGGGCTTTCTTTAAAGAGAGAGAGAGAGAGAGAGAGAGAGAGAGAGAGAATACTGAAAATTCACAAACTTTTAAACATTTTTAAAATAATTTTGTCGAAGAGGTTCTGGAACTCTGTTCCGACACATTCCCCCAGAAAAAAAGCCCTGCCTGGGTCGACCTACTCTGTCACTGTAGCAGCTATGCCACCAGGGGGCTTTTTTCTTAATTGGCAATTGAATAGCGTTATTGCAATCTAACATTACCACAATAGGTAGAACAGATTATTTCCATTTCCAGCTTTCTTCTTTTTCTAAAAGTGTCTAGCCTCTTCCATTGCAGAGATACAAGGGAAAGGCACATCTCCTCAATGGAAGGAGGTCGAGGCTTTAAAGAAAATGAAAGCTGAGGATTCATGGAATCTGTTACACGTATTGTTGTAACATTATATCAATATGTTGAATTGCCAATTTTAAAAGATCCCCAAAACCCCAGTAGACTGGAGGGGGAGTAGCTGCTGCTGGGGAAGTGGGACAGGGAACCTGCAGGGGAACGGGCCATGAGAAAGCTCCGTTGCCACTCTGCTGTGTCAGCAGCTGCTCCAGCAAAGGGGATGCCCCTTTGTGGAAACCACCTGAACTATGCACCATTTCTGTGTTTTAGGAGACACAGTTCTATTGTTCTAATCTTTTATAACAGTCCTGAATCTATTACAATCCACACTTTGTTAATGTTGGCATTCCCGTTCTCTGAGAATTTGCATGAACGTTTTCTCATTCATGCACTGTCTTTCTAATTCCACTCAAATTCAACAGGGAAGCAGTAATTGAATATGAAATAATACCGGCTGGCCAGGGTCTCCCTTTTCTCCTTTTGGTCCTGGAAGTCCATGTGATCCCTTGATGAGGACAAAAAAGAAAGTTTATTTTATCTATCAAAACAAAAACGTAGCATGACGGAAGACCAGAAAACACGACTTACCTCTTCTCCGTTAATTCCATCAACACCATCAATCCCATTGTCTCCCTGAGAAAATAAAATCAGGAAATATGAGTTCCATTGTTACCCAGGACAATCATTCTACAGCAATTGCCCAAGAGAGGTGTAGATGTTCCTGCTAAGCTGTGGGGTCTTGGGTGAAAAAAATCTACTTTGTGAGCTACTGGTATTAAAGTTATGAGCAAGCAATATGGCTAGTGCATAAATTAGCTTTGCTCTGGAGCCATCCCTTCCTGAGCTAAGACAAAAAATGTGTGAGCCGGAGGCTGAAAACCTGTGAGCTAGCTCACACTAACTCAGCTTAGAGGGAACACTGGTAGACTATGCCAACTCCAGCATCTAACTAAAGCCGCCCTGAGCCTGCTTTGCGGGGAGGGCAAAGTATAAATCTGACAATAAATAAATAAATAAAAGTTAAATAAAGGATTTCCATTATAATGTAAATTACTTTTGGTCCCCCCCCAGCCCATATTACTTTAATGTCTTCCTATAATCCACTCTGGAAGGATTTGCATTGTCTTTGTCTCCAGTTGGCCTCTTTACTCTAGTCCCTTCCGTTTTCTCTTTTACAGCCATTTGTTATGGACATAGATAATAACCAGGCCTTCTCAGAGGTCCAGAGAGGCCTGGACCACTTCCAGCTTTTGAGGCCCCTAGGCAAAAAATAAATTAAAAAGGCAACACCTGATGTTTATAAAAACATGATTAAAAACTTATCAAATGCCCCAAATCAACAGGTTTCTAAATCTGACACTCCCTTTGATCTTGAGGCCAAGGTCAAATGGCTCCCCACCCCGATTAGCCCTGATCACAACACTGAAATTAAAATATCCGCGCAGATAATTTAATTTATCTTCCCATATCCATGTAGCAATTCACCATGTTTGGTTTGGTAACATAATCTTGGTTTAGCAGCCATTAAGCAAATATATCTAAATTTTTGGAAAGTAATAGTATCTCTCCCATAAGAAATCTCAGGCTTTTTTCAGTGTTCATGCAATACAGAATTCTGGCTCAGGGAAAAGGAAGAACTCACTTCTAGTGATCTTACACATAAAACAAACAAGAGAGTTATGGGTCACCTCTTCTTCCACTGCCACAAATACAGATTGTAGATACAAAACCTATAATTCTGTCAAACATCTTCTTAAAAACCATAAACCTTATTGTTTGAAATCATAAAGTCAAGAGTGCTTCAACTTGCTCATCTTCAAGCTTCCAAGTAATCTCCCTTCTTATCAGTATGTGAATAAAAATGAAGAAACAGAGATAATTTAGATGCTCCCAAATCAGGATGGATTTCCAGGTCATAAATTGTACTTTTAATCTGGATTTCAACTGCTACTCTGGGGTTATATTCATGTCAGAGAATCTATCAAAAACATAATAAACCTGACAGCAATGGGAAATGACTTATTTTCTTCTTTTTTAAAAAAAACATTTTCAATAATTTTTTTATTATTTTCTTCTGAAGATTGCTCAAATAGCAGCCTCTATTCCTCCATTTTCTGCACCACCCCCTCTTTTGTCACTTGTATTTCCTCATTCTCCCAATTAAATATCCCATTCCCCATTTTCAAGGATGCTCAGTTAGCCAATATCCTGGAACTGTTCCACTATACACAGCTTTCCACAGGTCACTGGCTCTACTCTGAAGGAATACTGGAAGCCTCACAGAGGAATTACAGCAATTAATTGATATTTTTTTATCCTGGTCTTAACTTGACTACAATGAACTCTAGGCTAACAATGATCTTCTACACTTCCAACCTCCTTCTATCACTGTGCTTTGGGCCTAACTAGATGTTTTTGCTGGTTCCAGAAAGGGAAGAATCCAGGAATAACCGCAAGACATTACTAAACAAATGACCTCCTCTTTCTGGGCCAAACAAAATGACTAGTCTAAAAAGGATCCAAATCAGAAGTGTACTCACTAGCCCTCTTGGTGTTTTTCCTACCATTCAGTTCATCTTTGCCCATGAGCTATAAGGTAAGTGGGAGCTCAGTTCCCAGCTAGAATGGGACTGCGATCATACGCACAATTAGACCCGACATAGGCACAAATGCGGGATGGATTTAAAGGGCGTGATCAGACAACAACATCTGAGAAGTGCCCCCTCAGCCGTTGGCAACCCGTTCTGCTCTGCCACAGAAGTGGAGTTAAAAGACACCGGGGGAAATCTGGTAGTAAACGGGTTGCGACGGGCCATGGGTGGACTTTCCCATCTGATTGCTCCAGCGCGCTCTCATGCCGTCAGGATGGTCTGATCAGGCCATCCCAACTCCATGCTGTCGTCCCCCCCCCCTTCACAGTATGTGCATCATTACAAACTCCATATGGAGCCCTCAGTGCGGAGGTGTGGTTCATTGATTCCTCATTTAGGCACATGGGAAACAAATGGCCCACAAATAAAATTTAGTCACCCGCAGTTACGTCTGATCACACACTGACGGGCTGTACCCGCAGCTTCAAAGGGAGGTGTGATCGTGAAACTGCGGGTCTACTCCCTCTGGAGGAAATAGTCTCACTTTCCCCCCCATTTTATCTGGCACCCTGGATCTCTTTTCAAATGTTCCACCTTCTGCATTACCACAATTAACACTTGAGGTTTACAGATTCATAAACCAAAGGGATTGACAAGTGAGGAGCAAACTGCACTTCACGTGCAAATGATGCAAAACAAACAAACAAACAAACAAGAACACCCCTCAATGCTTAAAAAAAACCCCACAGGGATCTTGACCTGAGAACTACTGGGGAAACGAAGGGGTGTTTATGTATGACGAGATTCCCCTGCCTTCATTAGGATTCATTATACTTTATTCCAGGGCTTTCATTTCAATGAACTTCCACAAAACTTCCTGTTGAGGGGAAGCAAGAATGTTCATTCCCATTGTTCGCAGAAACTGCAGACACCATCAAAGAACAAGGCTTTTATCCTACAGGCTTGCACTTTTGACACCCCAAAGACCAGGGGTGTTTGGAAAAGCAAAATGATTTGTTACAATAGCGAATCTCTATTAGAGCCGGGTATGCCCCCAATGTGAATAAAAAAATCTACAAGAAAGGGCCCACAGGCCCAAGATATATGTTTCTGAAAACCTGGAGGAAACTCCAAGTTGACAGAAAAACATGAAAAGTAAAAAAACAAAAACAAACACCCAACCCAATAAAAGTAATGACTGTGCATTATTTATGGGGGGGGGATTTGTGGGATGAGAATTTTGAGCAGAAAAAAAATATAGCAGGGAAACTTTCTCCTTCATCTTCTCCTCCTCTAGCTACTCCTACAATCAACAATGCAGCCACCCAAGGATTCATTGTACATACTGGCATGTAATGGTTTGCTTTCTCCTGAATGGCAACTTGTCCCTTCTTAAAAAGTAAAGGTAAAGGTTCCCTTGCTCGAAAACCAGTTGAATCCGACTCTAGGGTTGCGGTGCTCATCTCCATTTCAAAGCCGAAGAGCCAGCGCTGTCCGAAGACGTTTCCGTGGTCATGTGGCTGGCATGACTAAACACCAAGGTGCATGGAACGCTGTTACCTTCCCATCAAAGTGGTACCTATTTATCTACTTGCAATTTCTTGCTTTCGAACTGCTAGGTTGGCAGGAGCTGGAACTAGAGATGGGAGCTCACTCCATCATGCGGCACCCGGGTCTCGAACTGCTCAACTACTGACCTTCAACAGCCTGCAGTTCAGCGTTTTAACCACTCTTCTTACCACTTTATTATTCCAGGTAGAGCTTTATAAATCCTACAACTCATAAGCCACAGCAAAGATTATTTCAGAAAAGAAACATTTGCTTTCTGTACCTTTTCTCCACGCCATCCTTGTTGCCCCTGAAATATTTGAAAGGACAGACATATATTTAATGAGCTGTACAAAAACACTGAGTATGTGGACGAGACTACTACCAATGGTACAGGAATACTCTTACTTTTTCTCCTTGATCACCTTGGCATCCCACATAGCCTTGCTGTCCATTTGGTCCAGGGGGCCCACTGGAACCCTAAAGCAAAAAGTCTGAGAGTCAATGGGAACATACAAACCCAAAGAATTGATAAATTAATGCAAAGGATATAAAACTTACTGGTTCTCCATCGTCTCCTATATATCCTGGAATGCCGTTGATACCAGCATATCCCTGATAATAAAATTGTAAATGTACAGATGAAAACTGAAAGCATTTAGCTAAAAAGTTTTACCAGGAATGGCTAGCAATTTACTGAAAGCTATAATTTGACAGTGGCAAATTTCATTCAAGTTCCTTCTCAGAAAAAGTTTGCTTAAGCATTCAGTAATCCTCTTTTCTAAATAGGTTTGGGGGTAAATCTCAGGCATTACAACAGCTGTCTATCTAGGATCATCAATGCAGCTCAATAAAATAACACTGTACTATTGAAAACTTAGTTCCCCTAAATAAAGCATGGATTGTTGTAGGTGCCGTGGTCAAAACTACTGGAAGTGGTGGGGAGCCATTTCATGTGGCCATACTGGAGCTGCTTCCATTCAGCAGTAATTCAACAGACTGCACCCACTGGATAAATTGTGTGCACCTCCTCTCTACTTAATTTTGCAAGGCTTTGCAGCCATTCATGTATTTTTGGAAATAAAGGAAATTATAGGAGATGAGATGATCAATTTTTTAATTTGTTAAAATGGATGAGAAACTGACCTGTTTTCCAATGAGACTCATGCTAAATAGATTAGACAGACGCTGATAAATGAATTGTCTCTTTCTCAGCTGGAGCATTATAGACATTTCTGATTATTGGAATAATAGTAAATATTAGCTGAATGCATTGTTATATAAAAAGATGGTATATTTTGATTTAATAGACTGATAAACACATTGGGTTGGATCCAATTAACTCCTGCTTAAATGGCGAGACTCTTCCTGTTGGAGAAGAACACCTCAAACTTTGGAGCCATCCAAGTGTGTGTGCGTGAAACGCCAAAGTTTTTTAAAAAGAGGGTTTGTAAACAACAGTGCGGTTTTTAAAACAGAGCAAAGACTGCCAGTGATTTGGCCAAAGTTTGATACATTTGGTTTTTATTACTTAGAAATAATCATGACATGATTTATAACTTGTCTATAACGCTTGGAAAGAATAGAGTAAGAATCACTGATTTTGTAAACAGTGTGGGAAATTAAAAGGAAAGAAATTCTTATATTTCCAGTGGAGCTCCAAGTTGTCTGTTTTTTAAACTTAACCTTTTCTTACCTTTGTGGAACTGTGGTTCTATGCTGTGACAAAAGAGGGAATGCTGGAAGATTGTGTACTTATGTCTAAGTCTCTACACCTGCAATGTAAATTAAATTATGCAAAAAGATCCTTACCTTTGGCCCTATGCTGCCTTTTGGCCCAGGGGGACCTTCTTCCCTCATGCATGTACAAAATACACAGCAGCATGTTCTTTCAGCAATTTGGGCCTTGAAAAGAAGAAATTGCCATTGATTAAAAAAAAATCCCTGTTCTAAGAATATTCTATATCCCTCAAACTGCTAAATATTGCTATTTATTCACTGGTATGATGACCAAAAGAAATGGCTTTAAAGCCCTAATACCCAATCCTTTGCTTCTTTTGTACAGGGGTCATTTCGTAGAAAAAGAGCTAGGGGAACTCATTAGCATAACTCATTAGCATATGCCACACACCCTGACATCAAGGGCCCAGCGGTGGACCTGCAAGGCCAGTGGGAGTGCGAGGAAGCCCTGCTAAGGCCGTCCCTGGCCCCAGGCAGGGAGGGGTGGGGAGAGGCGGGGAGGAAGCAACTTACCCTCCCTCTTCTCCTGCCTCCTCCTGGCTGAATGAGGGCTGGAAGCGGGGTGGCCGGAAGCAGGGGGCGGGGCTTCGTCATGTGCCCTGCCCCCTGCACCTCACCCGAGGGAACTGTGTTCCCCCGCGTTCCCCCCCGAAATGACCTCTGCTTTTGTAACTTACCATGTACTCAAACAAGCTTTTGGCAATACTTTGCAAGCCAATTGTCAAATGATTAGTATATCCAGATCCTTTTCCAAATTCAATGTATTGGAAGCTATGAAAGTTGCTAGCTCCTTCCAGAGTAACCATTATTAGTCCATCAAGTCCTATTGAAAACACAGTGATGAATATGTTTTAAATGAAATATCTGTTCTATACCGGAATCATCATGAATTAATGCAGATCATTATATGGAAAATAAAATGAAAAGAGTGAAGATTATCTCATTTGTTCACATTTTATTTTAGCACAGCTGGAGATAGGAATATCTGGAAATCACTTTGCAAAAATTTCAGGAAGTTACAACCAAAGCTGAAGCTAGGACATACATTCCCTCGCATTCCATCTGAGTACACACTATGCCAAGAATTTATCATAGAAGGCATTCTTGTTGATTTCATGCCCCTATCAACGTACCAGAATTTCTTCCTGCAGAGGTTATCAGCTGTTAATACCAACCAGGGCCAGCTTAAGGATTTTAAGTAAATTACTTCGCTGTCCCTCTGCATCATGGGGAAGCCACTGCGTTCTCCATCTCCCATGACATAGGAAAGCTGCCGCCACCCTCCTTCTTTCTCCCCTTGCACTGATGGGAGCCTCCCCCCCATTGAGGACAAGGTTGTGGCTTGTCATGGTGCCATGTCTCCCAACAGGAGTGGATATGAAGGCAAAATGGTACTGGGATAGAGCCCCATCCCAGCCTACCTGTGGCCCCACCTGCCCAGTGGACAGGGCATGGAAGGAGGAGGCTCACCACAGGCCATCCAGTGGAGCTAGGGGTACTACCTGAAGATGCTGCTTGCTGGGCAGGGTGGCAACAGGGCTGGCTATGGCACCTCATCACCTCTTCTGCCCTATGCAAGTACCTTGGTGCACTCAGTGGATGCCCTGGCATTGATATCAACTCTCTTGGATATCAGCTCTCTTGATCTGCTCTGTACCTTTTTTCCTAAGTTCTTCAGATTTTTGCTGGAGCACTTTTACTTCATCGTCCAAGCCATCAGAGAAAATAAGTAATACCTAAAGAAAGATCATATAGGTAAGACTAAAACAAGAACTATACATGGTTCAAACTTCAGTCATATATTCAAAATTGGATACAATCAAATTTGTCATATAGTCTGATGGACACCTAGGGTCAAGGGTTAATCAGACATCTGAATAAATTAAACCCTTTTAAATAAATTAGCACAGACATGAGGCTACAAAGGAGAAATGCAAAGAGGTTTAATTCATTTGAACTCAGTTGGTATGTTTGCTGTATGATATTATATGCTTAGGCAAGTTTGATTGAAGTGGTAATATATTACCTGGCTTCGTTTTTTACCACGAGGTAGGTTATCAAAAGTGTTCCAAAGTGTGTCCAAGAATGCGACATTGAGATGTGATGGATTGTTGACTGTAACTTTTCTGAGTTCCTGCATAGTTTTTTTATGGTCAACTTGGAGGTCTGATGATAAAGTTGAGTTCATGTTATACTGAGAAACTGCCACGCTGAACTGTGTCTTTGTTCCAGTATTGCAACTCACAGTGCTTACAGATATCAAGTATTCTAAAATCTTAGGAAGGTAGGCTTCCAACAGGGGATGCCCATGGAATAAACGATTGCCCGGCTTTTGAGATGAAATGTCAAACCCCATAACGATATCCATAAAACACTCTGTTTGGAGGGAAGATAAAATGGAAAGCATCACAAATAAACTGTGGGATTAAGAAAGACAGAGACAGTAAATTGTAAAGAGGCACATCAGTAATGAAAACGTTAACAATTATGACAATTCAGACAAAATGGTCCATCTACCTCTAAAGACTGATTCGTTGAGAAATGCATTACCCTACCTAATGACATTTAATATTTTGTTGGTCATGTTGGCCACAGAGAATAAAAACAAAGAGCAAGTAAAGTACACCATGAGCAGAGCAGGATTTATGCACAAGCTCCGCATTACTATGTATGGGTGTGAAAGTTGGATAATGAAAGAATCCGAAAGGAAGAAAGTTGATTCATTTGAAATGTGGTGTCGGAGGAAAGCTTTATAGATACCGTGAACTGTCAAAAAAAGAAATAAGTACGTTCTAGGTCAAATCAAGCCTGAACTTCTCTAGAAGCTAAAATGACTATACTGAGGTTATCGTATTTTGGCCACATTATGAGAAGAAAAGACTCACTGGAAGGAAAAAACAACAATGCTGGGAAAAGCTGAAGGCAGCAGGAAAAGAGGAAGGTCCAACATGAGATGGATGGACTGACTCAACCAAGGGAGCCACAAAGACCCTCAGTTTGCAAGACCTAGGCAAGGTTGTTGATGACAGGACATTTTGTAGGACATTAATTCTGTAAGTCAGAAGCAACTTGACAGCACTTAAAACACACATAAGTAAACTAGAGCTCAGGACTTCAGACTATAGGAACTGTAAATACAAAAAAGGTCCTAAATTACCCTCGGGGAATGCTGCGGTATCTCAACATCTTTAGGGCTTCAGCATGTTTTAATTTCCTCTTCCTGCATTGTACTTCAACAGCTACGCATTGGCACAGTTCTATACAGGTCAGGTTCAGGACTAGGGGTTGGATTCCAAGAGGTTGGAATGATGTGCATGGAAGTGTGGCTTTCCTGTCTCTTCCCTCTCCAGATGCCTGAAGTCCCCCTCCAATGCTGTTCCTGGGAGATAGGGCAGCATGAGTAGAGAATCGGAGGGTGGCTGTGGAAGGGGGGAATAAGTAAAAATCACCCTCTCCCCCTGCATGGGGATCTTTTCCATGGAATCCAACCCTAGGGGAGCAGGAGGTACCCATATTCTACAGAACTCAATACTTTCATCATATTCTGTTATGGGGTGGGGATTTCCTGCAATGTTTCATGGACTCCAAGCTTCTTCTCTGAGATAAATGTTGCGATCCAGTGTCTAAGAGAGTAATGAAATGGAGTCACCATCAGACAGTATAGTGGCTCCTGAATACTCAAAGGTATTCCCCATGGTATTGTAGAAAAATATGAAAAGCCACTGAGAGGTCTGGGAGAATCAACAGGGACACCCCTTCCTCCATTACTCTCCCAGCAAAGACCGTCAGTCAGGGCAAAAAAGGTTGCTTCAATACCAAACCTAGGCCCAAATCTGGATTGAAATAGGTCTAGATGATCTATTTCTCTCCGGACCACTTGAAGCCCCTCAAAGCTCCTTGCCCAAGAGTGGAATGTTGACAATCAGGTGGTAGTCATTTAGTGGACGGACCCATGTTACAAAGGGAAGAGAATGAAATATTGGGAGAAAATAACATCGACTTGAAACTGAAATAATTAGAAAAGAGTCTTTTAATCTGTAGCATCGTCAGCAGACAGATAAAACAAAGAAAACAGAACTGGTTACTCACCTGCTTTAACTCTGCCATTACACATTTCATTACTTATGCGTTTTTTGAGATTTGACAACCCAGTGAAATCAGCAATTCTGTATTTCCTCTCTGAGGATCCAGCTATTGTTTGAAGTGTTGTATCTTTAATGTCCCCTACTCCTATTGCATAGATCTCCACACCTTCCTCTCTCAAGTCCTCAGCCGGTTGAGCAACGTCGTCATGTGAATCTCCATCGGTGATAACCAGCAGCATTGGTCGAATATCTCTAGTCACTCTGCGTCTTGGTGGGCTGAAGAAGGCCTTCACCTTTTTGAGAGCATTTCCAATGCAAGTCTCAGTACCTTCCAACATTGATACATTAGAGATTTTGTCTTGCAGCTCTGATTTGCTAGAGTTACTGTGAAGAGGGAATTCCTTTTGGTACCTGTCGCTAAATTGGGCCATGCCAACTTGCATGTCCTTACTATAACTAATCTGATCAAGCATTTCTTTCAAGAAGTCTTTCATTGTTTTAAAATCAGTCTTGTGTATACTGTTGGAGCCATCGATCAAGAAAACAAGGTCAGCATGGACTTCACATTCTGCATTAGAAAACAAGATGCAAAATAAGACATTCATCATTCACATTGCCTCACAATGCAAATAGTACTAGGATACGAGTGTTTATTGATACATTACAATCCAAAAATTAAAATGGGAGGATAATAGTCCCATTGGGAGCATATAAGATTACAATACTGTTGTTTTTAAGGTTTTAAGATTCTGAATTTGCTGTGGCTCTTCTGCATGCCTTTTCTTGTGCTGCATTTTGTACATCGCCTAGCATTACAGAAATAACATAACTAGTCTCCTAGTCTTAAGACTTAGGTTGAGTTTAGAGAACTTTTAGGAAAGGCAGTGTTTCTCGGACATTTTGAACTTGAAGACTCCCTGCTAAATTTACTCTGTGTTCTCATTCCCATCAATCAAGTATCATCTCTATATGTTCTTCAGATGATAATCTGGAGAGCCTAATGTATTCAGGTCACAGGTGTGCATTTGAATCTGTGGTGTGAGGCCAAAGGAACATTAAAGATTATTTCTCTCTACACATTCTCTGCACTTCTTTGTCCAACTGAAATTATACCCGCAGATCTGGTACTTCATGGAAGAACAAACTCCTAGGAAAGAGTAAACACCCCTTTTTCTCCAGATATGTCTAGTTCCTGGTCCAGATGTTATCGATATATTTATCATGTTAAATGTGTAATTTTCGTAATGCAGACATAAGAACTGACCTGGCTCGTCCGGGCTAGCCCAGTCTCATCGGATCTCAAAACCTTAGCAGGGTCAGTCCTGTTTAATACTTGGATGGAAGACCACCAAGGAAGTCCAGGGCTGCTATGCATGGGCAGCCAATGGCAAACCACCTGTGCAGAAGTCATTTCGAGGGGGATCGTGGGGGATCGCAGTTCCCCCGGGTGAGGTGCGAGGGGGCGGGGCACACGATGAAGCCCCGCTCCTTGCTTCCGGCCGCCCTGCTTCCCACCCTCATTCAGCCAGGAGGAGGCAGGAGAAGAGGGAGGGTAAGTTGCTTCCTCCCCGCCTCTCCCCACCCCTGCCTGCCTGGGCCCAGGGAGGGCTTTGGTGGGGCTTCCTCGCACTCCCGCCGGCCTTGCAGGTCCACCGCCAGGCCCCTGATGTCAGGGTGTGTGGCATATGCTAATGAGTTATGCTAATGAGTTCCCCTAGCTCTTTTTCTACGAAACTACCCCTGCACCTGTGTACGTTTCTATTTTGAAAAACCTATGGGGTTACCATAAATTGACTGCAACATGCAGGGGTCATTTCTGTAACTGTGACTGGCATCCTCAGAAGTATAACACAGAAAGAGGGAGTACTCTCTGTGTCAGAGGTATAACACAGAAAGATGGAGTACTCTCTGTGTCAAGACACAGAGAGTACTCCATCTTTCTGTGTTATACCTCTGAGGATGCCAGTCACAGTTACTGGCGAAACGTCAGGTTCTACAATGCCAGGACCACAGCCTCACAACCCGGAAAATCTACAGCAACTAATTCTATTACATGGTTCAGGTTTTTTTTAAGGGCTTTACTGAACAGACCTCAAAAGTTCAAAAACATGAACTTCACTGTAGGGGTGGATTTAAGGTTTCCGTTCCCCTAATGGTGGAGAATTCTTCCAGCAGAATATACTTCTTCTGTTGGAGCAACAACTCTTCTATTGGTGGAAGTTTCCCTGCGCTGGAGAATGACTCTAACAGAACAGAAGTGCTGGATCTATCCATAGTTCTTATACCACGAACTAGACTAGCAATATAAATTGCATAAAATAAACAACAATATAAAGAAGGTAAAGCTTTCTTGAACCTTTTTTAAAAAGAAGAGCAGAATATGACATGTTTGAAGAATTAGTGTTATGTTGTAGTTTTGGTCTGAATCCCCATTTGGGCCACGAAGTTCAGTGCAATTCTGTGCAAAGTTGCTCCATTCTATCCCATTAACTTTAGTGGATTTAGACTGGAGTGACTCTGCATAGAAATGCAGTGCTGGAGACCTTGGTCCCATCTGTCCCTTTCCCATTCCCTGGCCCTTTCTGCACTCTCCTTTAAATCCATGTTCACCATGGTGTCCTCCAAGCAATTCTGCACTAAAATCTAGTTCAACCTTCTTTTTATTCCGTCCCCCCCCCATTCTGCATTACATTACCTTTCTTCAGTGGTCAGCCCGCTTTCATTCTGCTGTTGTCCTGGGTTATTTGGATGCTGTTTTGTCATGGACTTAAATTGCCTCAACTCAAACACTAAGAAAATCCGGAGTGGCAGGCAAATGCGGATAGGACCCCTGTCTCTCTGCCTCACCTATCTCTTTGGATTATTGTTAAGGCAGAAAAAATCCTCATCCTAGTATGTCACTTTGAACTCTTTGGTGGAAGAGCGAAAAAAGAGCGGGATATAACAAGATGGGAAAGGAGATGAATTGGGGAAGAGCATTGGTAAAAGGAGAGGCGCTTGAGAGCATGGAGCACAAAAGCACAAAATCTGGCTGAAACAAAAAGCACAAACTTATAACAGGAAAAGAGGAACTGGGAGCTCTGATGAATGATCCTGTTTCACGAAACGGCAAGGGGGGGGGGACTAACCTGAGAGTCAAGCCAGGAACCTTGAAAGCTGAGCAGCTAAACATAGAACAAAATAGTGTTTCAGCCCTAAGAGCCTTGCCTGGAACAGATATTTTATACTTTTGGTGTGTGTTGTTATTATTTAGACCACTGAAGAAGGCCCTTAGGGCTGAAACCTGTTTGGTCAAGCGGTTATTGTATGTGAAATTTATCTTTGTTGCCGCATGCAATGTCTTAATGAATGTGATGCTACACCCACGACCTCTTTGTTTTTATCTACATTCGACTAATGTTGTTTTTAATTTGTAGTTACTGTGCACTTTGTAATAAATAGATATATTTTGTTCTATGCTTTAGCTGCTCAACCATCTAGGTCCCTGAATTATCCTGTTTCCTCAACACACCTTATGCACACAGATACTGTAGAAAGGTGCTCTGCTCCTAATATTGAGGGGGGAAATCTAAAAATAGTGCAATAGTGAATTAATACTTTACCTGGCTTTGAATCATCACACAGCTCATCCGATAACGTTTTGGTGATGCTTTCTAGTCCTTCAAACTGGTCCACATAGTAATACATCTTGTTTGGTCCTGCCATAGTCTGAAGTTCATCCGTCTTTGCTTCTTTTATCCCGACGGCATAAATCTCAATGTCACGGGCCCTGAGTCTTTTAGACACTTCATCGAGTTTTGCTGCATCATGTGACTCACCATCAGTGATCACTATAAGAGCCTGGGGAACGTTCCTGCGGTGGCGACTTCCATGTGCCTCACTGAAGAATGATTCTGAATGTTTAAGAGCCTCAGCTGTGTACGTATTTCCACCCAAAAGTGTGTCACTTTGGATAGCTGAAATGATAGCTGATTTCGTATGATAGGTATTAAGGTAGAACAGTGTGACTGGGCTGTCAGAATACTTCAGAGCTCCAAACTGAACTTGGTCACTGCCAACATCAGATTTACTGACTAGGCCGATCATGAAGTCCTTCATGAGGTTGTAGTTAGTTTCACCTATACTGCCAGAACTATCTATTACAAATACAACATCTAAACGTGCTATCCTTTTGCACTCTGGAATACGAAGAGAGAGAGAAAACATATATTATTAATCTAGTTGTACATACTTAAACATTTTTTCCTTTAAAAAATTCATTTCTTTTTATAAGAGAAATAAAGCATTTTTTTCTTTTAACAGCAAACACAAATACCTTGGTTATAATGAAGCTAATGCTGTGTTCCCATTATTTGTGCTTACCCATTATTGGCGCTTTCTCTCATAGAGAATCAAAACGTCCTTGTGCATACCTACCAACAGAAGTTAGTCTAATAATGGGAGAGTTGGACCACAGTCCTGAGGAGCTTCACATAACCAATGGAGCTTCTTGTGGTATGTTGCACACATTTATTTCACCCCATTATTACTTCATCATATATGCTCTGCAGGTTTTTGACAGTGTTCAACTTCTTGTGTCTGCTGGCAAAGCAGCCAGAGCTACAGAAATGGCACTAGCAACTGGGAGGAAACCCCACATGCCTCAGAAAAGGGAATGAAGGCTACTGAGACATGGTAGTAGCAAGCTGAGGACATTTAAAGCTAAGGGTCAGGAATGATTCTCTGCTGTGGCTCCAAGGAGTGAAGATGCAGGGAGACTGAGGAGGAGACAGGGGGGTTGGAGGAAGCCTCTTTAGGTTGGAGGAAGGGTTCCAACTTTGCTTATATTCATTTTCTATACAGATTAGTATTCTAAAAAGATCTAGTAAGGTCGAGACCCATGTTTCACATTTTTTAAAATCCCTGAAGTATATGATAATGTTGATCTTAGCTGTGTGTACACGGTCCCCGGTCACATGGGAGAAATTGACACGGGCAAAGTGCGGCTTTTTAGAGCCGCACCAAAAGAGACACGTGGTGGCGGGATCAGACAGATCCCCTGAGCCGCCGTGCAGTTGCTCCCCGGCATGATCAGATGCCGGGGGGGGGAAGCCACAGAAGAGAGAGCGAGGCAGCCAGCTGCGCATGTGTGAACATGCGCAGTTCAGCCAGGCAGCGAGCCTCAAATGCTCCTGAAGACAGGCGTGCCGGCGATCCCACGGCCTCGCTTGCTGCGGCGTTTCAGGTTGGTGCTACTATTTCCTAGGGGTTTTTTAATGCGCATTTTCGGCCTGAAGGGACGGATTGGGGACGGGTGCGCGCCGCTTCCCAGATGGTGCGGTGTGATCGCGCCCATTTACTGCGCCCCCAATCCATCCCTCTTGCGGGCCAAAACCTCCCATGTGACCGGGGCCAAACAGTATCATTTGACTAGAATGAATGGAGATATGGGGGAACAAGTCAGAAGAGCAAATATGATCTGCCTAGACCAGGGGTTGTTTCGTAGAAAAAGAGCTAGGGGAACTCATTAGCATAACTCATTAGCATATGCCACACCCCCTGACATCAGGGGCCCGGCGGTGGACCTGCAAGTCTGGTGGGAGTGCGAGGAAGCCCCGCCAAGGCCCTCCCTGGCCCCAGGCAGGCAGGGGTGGGGAGAGGCGGAAGGAAGCAATTTACCCTCCCTCTTCTCTTGCCTCCTCCTGGCTGAATGAGGGCCGGAAGCGGGGCAGCCGGAAGCAGGGGGCAGGACTTTGTCATGTGCCCCGCACCTCACCTGGGGGAACTGCAATCCCCCGCGATCCCCCCCGAATCGAACTCTGGCCTAGACTATGGCTGCGGTTACTTGCACTAAATAATCCACTTTCAATCCACTTTCAATGCACTTTCCAACAGGATTCTGCCAGTTCACACAGGCTGATTCTGCATTGGCTTTTCCCTTCATTGTTTTAGCAAACCCATGTTGGAACAGAAAAGGTGCAGCTCAAAGCCACATTCAAATACCCCTGGGGAATGCTGTACTGACTGCAAAGTCACCCCTGAATGGCCATAAATCTATGCAGAAGGTACCATAAAGCCCGATGATCAAAGAAAGTGAAAGCAACATTGTTAAATACTGGGTTCCATGGATGAGCAGACCCCAAGTCTAGCGATCAGCTCAGCTTTATTAGTGATTCAGCAGACACAAGACTGAACTCCAGGGCAACAGCCCTGTTTAAATAGCATGCAAACACCACACCCAACCACACCCAGCTCCCAACAATAGGCTATTTGCATAACATTAACTCCTCATTGTTCTAGAGCTCCAAACTCAGCCAGTCTCTGGTAGACAGTCCTAGGATGTTCCAGCTCCAATACATAACAGGCATGCAATGCAGAGGGGAGTTTCTGTTCCAGTGTGGGTTTGGTATAACAATGAAGGGAAAAGCCAATGCAGAATCGCCCACAGTAAAATCCATTTGGAAAGTGCAGTGAAAGTGGATTGAAAATTGATTATTTAGTGTGTGTGACTGCAGCCAAAGAGTGTTATTATGGATGAGTCTGTGAGATCAGAGGTTTAATCCTGGCACAGATAGGAATTCATTGGGCAGTCATGGCGCACATCCTGTATTGCAGCCTCACTGGCAAAATAAGAATATCAGAAATGTACCTTCCTAAATTGCTGTGAGGATTAATTCATCAAGTTAATGCTGCCTGTGGTCTTTTAAACCTTTTTGGATGCTATTAACTTCTGGGAGGTTGTGTGCCTCCAATTCGGTTTCTTTTTAAAAAATAACAAAAAACAAACACAAGAAACAAAGAACAATCCAGATTTATCTGTAAATGTGGGGACTTTGAAAAACTCTGTATCTTAATTGTGGATGGCCCTGTTCTGTTCATCTGTATACACAGGGGCTGATTTCACACTAGAACTGCCTTGATGTTGTGCCGCCGTTTGCCCCGATACTATTGGTCATTTTCACACCCGAAGCTGCGGGGCTGCATTTTGACTCGCGGCTTCGCCCGATTTCCCCCGCAGTTTCGTAATCCTGTTTTTTTAGGATCACGAAACTGCGGAGGAAATCGGGCGAAGCCGCAGGTCAAATGCAGCCCCGCGGCTTCAGGTGTGAAATTGACCAATAGTATCGAGGCAAACGGTGGCGCAACATCGAGGCAGCTCTAGTGCGAAATCAGTGCAAGCCAATACAAATAATCATATGAAAAAATTATGTGAAAGACAGAATAATCATTCCATGATATTTAATCTTATTCTTTTTCAATCTAGACGCCGCGAGATGAACATGCGTCATGAAAAAGTGAAGGACGAACTTCCCCGGAGTAACCGTTTCATTTCGATATTTCTTTTTCATACAACAATATCCTGACAAAAAACATAATCATTACTCATAACAGGAAACCATCCCAACCTCTTACACAAACTACCAAAAATTTAGAAAAATACATACAGTTCTGTTTCAGCATATTCATTCACCTTCCCAAAGGATTTCTCTAATTCTATGAATAAAACCTCCACAAAGGGTTGGAGAAAGGAATCTACATATTTGGACAATGGTTCCAAAACTGAATTAACCGCAGATACAATCGGGCGGTTAATTCAGTTTTGGAACCATTGTCCAAATAGGTGGAGGCTCTTCCCTTGTATATCAAAGATACTTGTGACTTTATTAATCAGGTGGAAGGTCTATCAGTACCCGAAGGAATGGCTCTAGTCACGCTTGATGTCAATTCATTTTACACCAATATCCCGCACGAAGAAGCGAGGATATGCTTACTTAGGACATTGGAACAGAGAGCTTATTGTGTTCCCCCCACACATTTTCTACTAGATCTGGTAGACATCATTTCTGAAAAGAGCTTTTTTAGGTTGGGTAATGAATTTTACTTTCAAATTAAAGGGGTAGCAATGGGCAGCTCTTTTGCGCCCAGTGTTGCCAACCTTTTCATGGGTGATTTCGAGGGCAAATGGATTTTGAATGACAGCATTAATCCTTTTTGTGAGCACATTATATTCTTTAAACGTTATATAGACGATTTGTTTATGCTTTTTGATAAGATAGAGGTTGTAGATCAGTTTGTGGGATGAATCCATCAAATTCGTACATTCTATGAGCATTACGGAATTGAATTTTCTAGACACTACAGTGTATGTAAGAGCCAAAAAGTTGGCAATTCGTCCATACAACAAGAGTACAGATAGGAATTCCTATTTACATTACAATTCACACCATGTATGCCATCTTAAAGAAAACCTCCCTTATGGGCAGTTTTTGAGAGTCAAAAGAAATTCTACAATTGAAGAAGATTTTGAAAAAGAGTCAGATAGACTCAGTCAGCTATTCAGGGACAGAGGTTACCCACTTGGGGTAATAGAGACAGCTAGGTTTAGGGCCAGATGTAGAAATAGAGTAGATCTTTTAAAAGGAAGACCCAAATGGTGGGAGGATGACAAACTACATTGGGCTCTTGATTTTACCAATAGATCGTATTATATTAAAAAGATAGTTTTTCGTCATTGGCATATTCTTAACAATGTACCCTTGTGTCAAAACTCTCCGATTATAGGTTTTAGAAAGACCAGCAGTATAAGGGATAAGATCATTAAGGCTGACCTACACCAGAGTAGTCAACAAGACACCCTCCCCAGGGGCCATTTTAAGTGTAAGAAATGCACTGCATGCCCACAGATGTGGGAGACAAACCTATTGGACTTTCCGGAGGTGAACTATAGAAAGGACATCACTCATTTTTTGACCTGCGCCACGAAAGGGATTGTGTACCTTTTAATTTGTGGTTGTGGTTTAAAATATGTAGGTCAGTCCTCACAAGCACTTAGAACCCGGGTGCTTGAGCATAAATCAAGACTTAGACATGCTTGTCAAGATGCTCCCCTGGTACCCCATTTTACGGAAGCTGGTCGTTGCCCAGATGATTTTAAATGTATAGTTTTGGAAGTCATCCGTTCTAAACCTTATGAGACCTGTGACACACATAAAATATTACTTCAAAGGGAAGCCTTTTGGTGCTTTGAATTGGATATTATTCAACCAGTGGGACTGAATGTAGCCCTGGAACTGTCATGTTTTCTGTAACAACTTAGAGCAAGATTCTTTAATTTGTAGGTTATAGGATGTACATTAGGCTGTGTGGATAAGTACTGTTTTGTCTTTCTGTCTTCTTGTCTTCTTGTCTTTTGGTATGAACATTGATACAAATGTATTGGATATTAAATTGACCACGAAGTAATAAACACAATAAGTTGGCAACATCATTTAGGAAGCATGTGATACATCAATAAGGATATAAGAGCAAGCAATGAGAGCTATAGCTAAGGCTGATCAGCCCGATTTGATACATAGGCTATGTGCCGGTTATAAGCTATTCTGGAGCAGTTAGGGTAAGGATTTTTATATTTGTATGTTGTATAAGAGATATAGCACTTATGTATGGGTATAGAATAATGAAATTGAGACATTAAATATAATCAAATATGTTTTATTCATAGAATTAGAGAAATCCTTTGGGAAGGTGAATGAATATGCTGAAACAGAACTGTATGTATTTTTCTAAATTTTTTGTAGTTTGTATAAGAGGTTGGGATGGTTTCCTGTTATGAGTAATGATTATGTTTTTTGTCAGGATATTGTTGTATGAAAAAGAAATATCGAAACGAAACGGTTACTCCAGGGAAGTTCGTCCTTCACTTCTTCATGACGTCTTGCATGTTCATCTCGCGGCGTCTAGATTGAAAAAGAATAAGATTAAATATCATGGAATGATTATTCTGTCTTTCTTCACATAATTTTTTCATATGATTATTTGTATTGGCTTGCACTGTTGCAGTATTGTTTGTATGTTACACAATTGTCATACTGCTACCCCCCTTGTTTGCCAACTAGTGCGAAATCAGCCAGAGTCTAGCCCTTGGCTATTTGATATAGGGATAAACAAGAATGCCATGTTATTGGGCATATAAAATCTGTACACTGAGCTTTACTTTTTGAAGACATTTACCTGTAAGCAAGTCTAGATTTTTTTTTGTCTAGTTGTGTGGTTACAAAAGAGGAAGGAGTCATCTTTAATTTGTGTACAAGTTGTAGGTATGTATAGTAATTAAAAAGCTCTGTGTAACTCTTCCCTTTGTGTATAAACTAACTTTTTTGGGGGAGGGTTAATCTTATATTCAGGATCATCTTATTTTTGTGTAAATACAGTGTGTGTGTGTATACATATACGTACATACACACACTGGCACTCTGAGGAAATTGGTATTCTGTGATCCCAAACAATTTCATAGAATTTGTTTATTGCTATACAATTCCTGCCTGCAATATGCTGTCTGCTTTTAAAAGAACCCTACGATGGAGTCATATAATATTCCTAACTATGTAATTTATGTTCTCTTTTGGAACCTATGTCTTTGGCGGAGCAAAATTTGTAAACCCATGTAGAAGACATGTGGAAGACAAGATGGCTTTCCAAGAGAAGAGCAGTTTCATTTTCTCATGAAGGAAGCCCCCTCCCCCATGTTAAGCACCCCCCAAAAAAGGGAAACAGTACTAACCCTCATAGGGATTACATATGCCAAAAATGATGTCGTCTTCTATCTTCTCCAGAATATCAAAATTCTCCACATGAAACACCAACTCAGATTTCCCACTTATCTCTTCAAGCTGTGTTTTATTGGCATTAAACACCCCAACTGAATAGATAGTGATACCATCCTCTCTCAGAGCCACGGCGGGAGCTTTTACTTCATCTTGTGCTTCTCCATCTGTCAGCAAGATGAGAATTTTGTTCACAGAGGATCGTGAACCTTTGGATGGCGTGAAATACTCAGCTACAAATTCCAATGCTTGTCCAGTGAGCGTGTTCTCTTTAATGGCTGCCATTCTTCTAATAGCTTCGATTATGTCACTTTTTGCCGAATACTTGTTCAGCGGGAATTCTTCTTTAGCAATGTCACTGAACTGGACAACACCAATGCGTACTTGGTCTAAGCCAATGTGAGATTTGTTTACCAGATGACTCATAAAGTTCTTCATTTTGTTAAAATTCTCATCGCCAATGCTACCGGAGCTGTCCACTAGGAACATGATGTCTGCTTTCATTTCCTTACAGGCTACAGAAGGAAAACAAGTAATTATTCAGGTGATACACTCAAAATGAAATAAATACCACAAATCATTGTTGATCTGGTTCAACAGAAAGGACACACCATGCTGCACCGGTAAATATCTTTAAGGTAAAGGTTCCCTTGCTCGATAGCCAGTCGAATCCGACTCTAGGGTTGCGATGCTCATCTCCGTTTCAAAGCCGAAGAGCCAGCGCTGTCCGAAGATGTTTCCGTGGTCATGTGGCCGGCATGACTAAACACCAAGGCGCACGGAACGCTGTTACCTTCCCACTCAAGTGGTACCTATTTATCTACTTGCAATTTCTTGCTTTCAAACTGCTAGGTTGGCAGGAGCTGGAACTAGAGACGGGAGCTCACTCCATCATGCAGCGCACCCGGGTCTCCAACTGCTGAACTACTGACCTTCCACAGCCTGCAGTTCAGCGTCTTAACCACTTGAGCCACCGCAGCTCCTTTGCAAAACCCTTAAAGTCAAAATATACTCGGAACCTTTTGCTGAGCCTGAAGGCATTGCTTCTTTCATGACGCTGTTTAATGAAATAAAACAATATGAGCAGATATGGGCATGTCTCATGAGAGACAGCATACACATTTTCTAAATAAACAATAATTACAATAACCAAATAATAACTATAAAATAATAATAATTAATTAAACCCATAAATAATAACAGTAACCTAGGGAGGGCAACGTTTGGGGAGGAGAGAGAGCTTAGTAGGAATGTGATGCCATAAAGTCCACCCTCAAAAGCTGCCATTTTCTTCAAGGAAACTGAGGTCTGGAGTATAGAGATCACTCCCATTCCAAGGCTGGGAACCCTAATTGCAACTCCTGTATTTCCTTCATAATATCTAGTTCTACTTTCAGTAGTTTTCAGAACCCCAAATTTCCATGCACCCTTAGAGGTAAGGACCTGGGTTTGATTGGTGTCATTAGTTATGGAACAAGGTTGTGCTTATTGAGAGAACTACCAGTGGTATTTCTCTTACCTTCTTCAGTGCATACATCTCGGACAACTTCAGCTTGGATATCTTTCAAGGAGTCAAACTGTTGCACAAAGTAAACCCTCGAGCCTGCGATCTCATGCAGTTGGGTTCTATTAGCGTCTTTTACACCAATGGCATACATGTTCACCTTTGCATCCCTTAGTATCTTGGCAGGAACCTTCACATCATCGTGGGCCTCTCCATCTGTCAGCACAATGAGATGAGAGGGCACTTTGTTTCCACGTTGTTGTCTTGCCTTTTCAAACAAAGGCTGCATGGATTTTAAAGCTTCTCCAGTATATGTATCTCCTGTTAATTGATTGATATTATTAATAGCTTTTTCCAAAGAGTTTCTTTTAGTGTAATCATCAAGTTCAAAGTGTACTTTAATACGAGAAGCATATGAATATTGCACAACTCCAAATCGGACATGATTAGGTCCAACATTAAACAGCTTAATCACTTCCTTCAGAAAATTTTTCATGTCATTGAAATCTGACCAGTGAATGCTTGAAGAGCCATCAATGAGGAAGTAAATATCAGCCTCTTCTGTGTCCATACATCCTACAAGAAAAGAGGGACTGAATTAGATATTGAACCTAGATAAACACAAAAAATAAGCACAAGAAGATGCATCAAAGTACTCAGCTATAAAAAGGTACCACTCGACCTTATTGTACCAAAAGCTTGTTGAGAAGAATGTCACTACACTGGTGAGTTTGACATTAGGAGTGCGTACTGGAAAAATTATCCTTTTGAGAAAGGGAAGGTATATCAGTTTTGAGAATTTTTAGAAATGTCATATCATGAAGACTTGTTGATTTCCATTTCCAATAATGTCTGTTCATTGTTTTATATGCACAGATAATGGAAGATTTTCCTGAGCTGACCAAATGATATCAAAGTATCAGGGAACCTGGTCCACCCTCTCTTCTAAAGACTCCCCAGGTTTCAAGTGAATAGGACAAAGGGGTCTGACTTTACAGCCCTTTGAATAAGGTGACCCAAGCCATCCTCTTTGCATAGCAGAAAAATGGCTGCTGGTTTTCTGGAGCAGCTTTTACCAGATATAGTAATTACAGGTAAAAATAGTCCCTCCACCTGTCTAGTGAGGTACCCATCAGCCCCACCAATCATGTTGTGGAGGAAAGGGAGTCCAACTAGCTAAACCTAAGCAATGAAAAATGCCACATTACCCAAAATTGCTAATTAATCTGCCAAAAAGTATAAAACGGGTAACCCACTAACTGAAGGCAACCAGAAAAACCAACAAACCGAGGGGAAAAAAACACAATGAAAAGCAAGCAACAAACACCTTGGAAGCACAAAAAAGGAAAGGCAGAAGATCAAAATAAAGCAAACATTAAACCACACAGAGCCCAAAAAAACAACGAAAAGAATACATCTCCTGAACTCCCCACCAAAACTTCCCCTGGGAGAAAAGGCTAGTGGAAAGGCTAGCTAGTAATAATCAATTAAGCAAACTAGTCTGTTAGGAAGCATCATCCAGGCAGGATCCATCCCGCTGGGATCTAGTGTAGTCCAAGCAAGACATCTCACCCAAGACACAAGTAGCAGCGAGTGCAGCACACAGGAAGCTCAAAATCCACAATGTTATGAGCAGTCACAGTTTAAAATTTCCCTCCCCTCCAAGAAAGACTGTGATTGGCCAAGGTGACTCTCCTGATTGGTCCCCTGGCTAAGGTTTCCCAGGGAATGGCCACATAAATACAGAAATATGTCTGAGTCGCTGAATAGAAATAAATGGTTTGGCTATGAATGCAAAATTATGAATAGAAGGATTCGACAATTGCACTGTAAATTTAAAAGAGACAATACTGTACACATTCTAAGGGAATTACTCCATCTAAAAATTCCCCCTTGTTTGGAAGCATTCTATGATCATTCCAATGTTCAAAAAGATTAATCGTTCTGACCCCGCTAATTATTGCCCGATCAGCCTTTTATCATTTGTTGGGCAATGATATTCTTCCTTTCTGTATCAAAGGTTAAAGGAATGATGGACTTCCGGTTTATGGCAGTGCGCTAGCAGACTCACCTCCCGGATCTCCCAGGGGTGAAGTTGCGCTCCAGCCGAAGGAGGGGGTGCGCAGGCTCGCTTACCCCCCCAGGGACCCGGTGAAGGAACCCTGGCCATGGAACTTTCAAGAGGTTGCCTCTTCGATGGCGGAATGCCGGAGAATTGAGGCGCCTCTTCATTCCGACGGTTCTACGTGCTGTGAGACCGAATGGGCTTAGTGACACTGACCGGGGCAAGCGCAGGAGATTGAGCTATGACTTGTTATGTTTGTGTTTTAATGTTTTTAATCCTTATTGTAAGCCGCCCTGAGCCTGTCTGTGGCAGGGAGGGTGGGATAAAAATTGAATAAATAAATAAATAAAAAAAAGTCATTGAAAACTAAAGCATGGCTTAGTGCTTTTAAGCTTAGAATAAAGACTGTCTTTGCCATAGAAACGGATAGATTACTGTTTTTTCTCAAACAAAATGCTTATTACTCAGTAGGGGGTAAAGACTGTTAACACTAGATTACAGCAGCTGGGCCTTACATTAAAAGAAATTCTCCAGCTGAGTAAGGCAGAGACCTTCAATATTGTCGAGCATTTTCTTACCAAGGTGGATTACAATAGCAAGGTAATTTGTGCTCGCAGAGTTTGTTCAACCCAATTCTTTGACATTTTACCACCTAAGTCCTTGCCATCCTATACAAGATATTTAACGGTGCAGCCACTACTAAAGAAACTGACACTGGATTCAGTCTTGAATGCACCGTTCTTGAGCAAGGTGATTGAGTGGATGGTGGCTGGACAGCTCCAGGACTTCCTGGATGAAGCAGTCTGTCTTAAGGCCTGGACATGGGACTGTGATGGCCTTTGTCACCCTGGATGACTTGTGCTGGGGAATGAATAGGGGGAGGCTATCCCTGTTCCTGACTTTTCAGCAGCTTTTGATACTTTTAACTATGGTAGCCTTCTGGACCAACTTGGCAGAATTGGGACTGGGAGGCACCATTCTGCAGTGGTTTCAGTCCTACCTGGAAGACAGGTTTCAGAAAGTGGTGCTGGGGGCTGCTACTCAGCTCCTTGGCCTTTGGTTTACGGAGGTGTGCAGGGTTCCATCTTGTCCCCCATGCTATTCAACTTCTACATGAAGCAACTGGGTGAGATCATCTGGAGTTTTAGGCTGGGCTAGCATCAATATGCAGGTGCCATTTAGCTCAATCTCACACTTCCAGTGTAAACCTGGAACAGGGACTGGAGACAGTTTTGTGTTGGATTCGGACTAATAAATTGAAACTTATTCCTGACAAGATGGAAGTACACAGTAAGACTGACCAGGGTTTAAGATGTCTCCTGCTCTGGATGGGGTTGCACTCCCCTGATGGAACAGGACTGTAGCCTGTGGGTACTTTTGAACTCAGGCCTCCTGTTGGAGAAGCAGGAGGCAGCAAGAGTGCCTTTTACCAGCTTCAACTGGGTAGCCAATGGCAGCCTTTCCTGGACAGGAAGGAGCTGGCTATTGTGGTGCAGGCCATGGTGACACCTAAAGTAGATTTTTGCAGTGTGCTTTATTTGGGACTGCCCTTGAAAAGTGTTTGGAAAGATCAATTGATAAAGAATACTGAAGCCAGGATGCTGACTGGTGTGGGCCTGTATCACTACAATCTTGGTTCATCTTCACTGACTTCCAGTCTTTTTCCAGGCCCTATTCAAGGTGCTAGTTCTGACATTTGGAGCCCTATTCAGAATGGGACCAGCATTCCTTAAGGACATCCCTACTCCCACACAAACCTATGCTACTACCAGTACCGTCTTCTGAGACCCTGCTTTGAGTGCTCCTGCCTTCTGAATTCAGGCAGGTAGCAATCGAAGAGAGAGCCTTCTCAGTCACAGCACAAAAGCTGTGGAGCTGTGGGATATTTGTCCCCTTCCATCGCTGTCCCACTGGTTGAGGAAGACTTTTTTTTTTTTAGTTTGGTGTTCCATTATTGACCTCTTCTTCCTACCCTACTTGTCATTGGATGGCTTTTTACACATGTTTTATCTGTGATTTTAACTGATTTTATAATGGGGTTTAATATGTTCTGCTTTTAATTGCTAGCCACCTTGGTGGCCCTGTTTGGGCCCAAAGATGGGATGTAAACTTTGTAAATAAATAATAAAGAGAGCTAGATGTCATCAGCATATTGATGATTTCAAGCAATTAACTCTGACTAGATTATCTTAATCAGCGGCCTCATACAGATATTGGAGAAGTACTGAACTTTGGGAAACTTCACATACTAGGTCCCAAAGACATTGCCAATGGAAGCTCTACCACTTTCCAAACAAAAAAAAGACAGATGCCATTATAAGTTAATACCAGAAATGCTTACCACATGTTTCAGCTGATCCAACAAGATAGAATATCTGATGTTTTATAATTTGAATACATGAAGCTGCCTTATACTGAATCAGACCATTACCCCATCAAGGCCAGTATTGTCTTCTTTGACTCGCAGTGACTCTCCAGGGTCTTGGGCAGAGGTCTTTCACATCACCACCTACCTGTTTCTTTTACCTGGATATGCTGGGAATCGAACCTTCTGCATGTCCCGCAGATGCTCTACCACTGAGCCACAGCCTTTCCCTTACCTAGCAGGCTGAACATTTACAGAAGCCAGAGTATTCTACCCAGAACTAGTATTCTTGTTACCCAGAACTTGAGAGAACTGAAATTCCCAGTTATGGAGGGAGAAGAAAACATCTGGAGGATACATTTTGAAATCTTGACATGGATAGGGAAATGAGGGGGAAGGAAAGAGGTGAGATTTCTTTCACAGAGGAAGGACTGAGACATTACAGTACATTCTTAGTAGCAGTGTTTTGCCAGTGAAACAAGGAACATGTAGACTGGCCAAGTTATATAGGACTTTTCTTCAAGGAAACATGTTGAGCTAATGTAAAAAACAAACATGCTCAGGCCAGTTGGATTTGTGCAGTCCTTTAAGAACAAAACAAGGAACAGAAAGATTAATTAGGAGTTATTCACTGAATTATATGAAAGGCTTTACCTGTTTTGAGCAGTATTCTTCTTTCAGATTGGACGTAAAGTGTGTGCTGTATTTGGTTGAAGAGTTTCTTTTGGAAAGTCTTGGTCTGACTTGGCAGGTCAGAAAATTTGGCAACTTTTATAATATTTCGCTCAGGTGGATGTGATACAACCTCAGTTAACTGGGTAGCATTAGCTCCTTCAATGCCTATGGCAAATACTGTCACACCGCTCTGTCTAAGAAGAGCAGCTGCCTCACTTAAGGAGTCGTCTGCGGGTCTGTGTGTGATGACAGTGGCTATTTGTTCCACTCCTTGAGTCTTTCTGCTTCCAGCAAGTTGATCAAAGACTCTTTTCCTGGTAATATTAATGGCAGCACCCAAGTTAGATTTCCCCAGCCTTGGCGAAACGCTCTGAATTTTCTGCAGAATATCAGTTTTGTTTGTCTCAGTCTTCAGTAATGATATTACTTGCGGCTCAGTGCTGTATGTCACTAGGCCAGTTTGTATACATCCTTCCTTCACATCGAGAGCGTTTATTGTGTCACTCAAGAACGATGCAACATACTGGGAGTTTTCACGTGAAATGCCTTCATCCACCACAAATACTATATCTGCAACTGAATCGCGTAGACACTGTGGAACTGGGAGGAAACAGCACATATTAGTAACTGGTTTGGGGGTATTTATTTGATAAGGCTTTGCAAAGATGTATATAATGTTACACAGCTGTCAATCTTTCTTCTGTCAGTGGACTCAAATAATTAGAAAGGAATGGAAAGAGAGTATTCTACCATTCACCACCAGTGCTCACAGATAAAGTGGGAGATCCTCTTTCCATTTCCCTTTCAATTGCACTGCAGTGGCAGTGCCACCTGCAAACTTTTTTACCAGCCATTATTCCATTTGGTGCAGGACAGAAGCACATTACAACAGCTTCAATGAAAAAGGCCCTGAATCTGCTTTGCTCCATATGTCAAAAAATATCCAAGCCCCTCTTAAGTCATGCATCATATATCTATCATGGAGTTTACATGCACTGAAGCATAGGAAACATAAGAGAAGACATGTTGGATCAGGCCAATGGCCCATCCAGTCAAACACTCTCTGTCACACAGTGTCCAAAGCCCAGGTCATATCAGGAAGTCCACTAGTGGTGCCAGTACTCCAGAAGCCCTCTCACTGTGGCCCCTTAAGCACCAAGAATACAGAGCATCACTGCCACACATAGTGTTCCATCTGTACCTTGCAGCTAATAGCCACTGATGGACCTCTGCTTCATCAATGTTTACCTGATCTCCTCTTGAAGCTGTCTATGCTTGGAGCTGCCACCACTTCCTACCTTCTCTATCCCATGCATAATTTTGTAACCCTCTATCATATCACCCCTCAGTCGCTTCTCCAAGCTAAAGAGCCCTAACCCCTTTAACTTTTCTTCACAGGTAAAGTGTTCCATCCCCTTAATCATTTTAGTCGCCCTTTTTTGCACCTTTTCCAAAACTATATCTTTTTTGAGGTGCGGTGACCTGAACTGTACACAGTATTCCAAATGAGTCCACACCATAGAATTATACAGGGGCATTGTGATACTGGCTGATTTGTTTTCAATTCCCTTCCTAATAATCCCCAGCATAGTATTTACTTTTTTTATTGCTGTCATACACTGAGTCAACATTTTCAGTGAGTTATCTACCATGACTCCAAGATCTCTCTCATGGTCAGTTACTGCCAGTTTGGACCCCGTCAACCTGTATTTATAGTTGAGATTTTTGGCTTCAATGTGCATTACTTCGCACTTGCCCATGTTGAGCTTCATTTGCCATGTTGATGCCCAGTCGTTCAGTCTTGACAGTTCCCTCTGGAGCATCTCACAGTTCTCCCTGATTTTCACTGCCCTGGATAACTTGATGTCATCTGCAAACTTAGTCACTTCACTGTTTATTCCCAACTCCATATCATTAAGGAACAAGTTAAAAAGCATCAGACCTAGTACCAAGCCCTGCAGTACCCCACTGCTTACCACCTTCCACTATGAAAACTGCCCATTAATATTCACTCCCTGTTTCCTGTTAATTAACCAGTTTTTAAATTCACAAGAAGACTTGTCCTTTTATACCATGATTGCTGAGTTTTTAGGAGCCTTTGATGAGAAACTTTATCAAAAGCTTTCTGGAAGTCTAAGTAAACAACATCTACTGGGTCACCCTTGTCCTCATGCTTGTTCACCCCCTCAAAGGACTCTCAAAGTTTAGTGAGACAAGATCTTCCCTTACAGAATCCATGCTGATTCAGTTTTTTATGAGCCTTTGATGAGAAACTTTATCAAAAGCTTTCTGGAAGTCTAGGTAAACATCTTTTGGGTCACCTTTGTCCACAAGCTTGTTCACCCCCTCAAAGGACTCTAAAAGTTTAGTGAGACAAGATCTTCCCTTACAGAATCCATGCTGATTCTTCCTCAGTAGCTTTGTTCATCAATGTGCTTACTAATTCTATCTTTAATGAAGGATTCCTCCAACTTACCCAGTATCAACGTTAGACTGACTGCCCTATAATTTCCCAAATTTCCTCTGGAACCTTTTTTAAAGATGAGGGTACGTTAGCTACCTTCCAGTCCTCAGGAATGAGGCAGATTTTAGTGATAGACTGCATAGTTTTGTCAGGAGATCTACAAGTTCACATTTGAGTTCTTTCGGAACTCTTGGATGTATGCCATCTGGGCCTGGTGATTTGTCAGTTTTTAATTTGTCCAACAGTTGTAGGACCTCCTCTCTTGTCACCTCAACCCAGTGCAGGTCTTTCAATACCCTACCCAAAATCGGCAGTTCTGGAGTGGGCAAGCACCACCCATCTTCCACAGTGAAAACAGAGGCAAAAAAAGCATTCAGCTTCTCAGCCATTTCCCTATCATTCTTTAGTAATCCTTTTACCCCTCGGTGATCCAAGGGTCCCACTGCCTCCCTGGCAGGTTTCCTGCTAGTAATGTATTTGAAGAAATATTCATTATTGGTCTTTATCTTATTTTATTTATTTTTTGCACTATGTTCCTCATAGGCTCTTTTTGCCTGTCTGATCATTGACTTGCATTTTATTTGCCAAAGCCTGTGCTCCCTTTTATTTACCTCATTCAGACTAGCCTTCCACCAGTTAAAGGAATCCTTCTTCCCTTTTACTGCTTCCATTACTTTGTTCATTAACTATGTAGGCCTTTTTAATACCTGTTTGTACCTTTCTTAACCTGTAGTATGCATTTTATCTGAGCTTCTAGGATTGTAGTTTTAAATAATCTCCAAGCTTCCTGAAGGAATTTGACACTCCTTACCTTCTCTTTCAGTTTCTTCTTCACAAGCCCCCTCATATGAGAAGAGTTAAATGTGGTTGTGTTGGACTTTTTGGACAACTCCCTATTTACTTGCTTGCAATGCTTGCAGTTCTGGTTTCGTAACATGTGGGGATGTCCTCACTTTATCATGGGTATGGATGAGGTTGACTGTGGGGCTGCTAGGACTACCCTCCCTCACCTCTACCCCCCCCACACACCAGATTGTACTGCATTGTTTTCCTTACCTTGTGGGGACACCTTGCTAACATTTACTGTTACACTTGGTGGACTAGGTGTAGAGATGATCACAGAATTATCCATTTGTATAGCTTCTCCAATAACTGTGGACATATTTTGAGAAAAAGTTGCAAGATCCTTCGGTGTCGCGAAGTTATAGGAAAAACGTTGTGTAGCCACTGAGCGTAGTTCCTGAACAGATGCAGCCTGCGTTCCTAAAGCTATTATTTTGATCCCATCATCCTGCAGCCTTTTAGCAGGTACCTGCACATCATCTTCTGAAAGCCCTGAAGTTGTGACCACCACTACTTGGTTTCTGTCTCTTCTTGGGATTTTGAAAAACATTTCATGGACCTTTTGAATGGCATTCCCAGTTTTTAAAGACCCACCCCTGTACAAAACGTTCTTTTTAAGGTGGTTTAACATGGGGGTTTTGCCTTTATAATCATCCAGCTGGAATTCAACGTGCACATCATCACTGTACTGGACAAGTGCAACACGATATTTGTTTGGGCCCACTGGCAGACTGCTGATTACTCTGTTAACAAACGATTTCACAGAAGGGAAAGACTTTTTGCCAAGAGCATTTGAGCTGTCAATCAAAAGGACAACATCTGTGGACTCAGAGGCTGAAAATAAACCAGAGAACTCAAGTTAGTGCATAATCTCAATACAGATCTATTCAGACAATAAAAAGATTTGGTTTGATCAGTGCTTTTTCGTAAAAATAAAAATAGTACAGATTTTATACTAATTCCCCCCTCTGAACTTTGGACTGTCCCTCCCAAAAGGTGCTGGAACTCAGTACTGGTGAGTACCATCAAAAGAAAAGCCCTGGGTTGGATCCTTTTTCTGCTGGTGCAGGAAGAAGAAGGGGCCCACTTACGTGGGGAAGCCGCATGTTATATGATTGATATGAACAACAGAATCAGAGAAGATCAACCCTCTTTCTTTCTGTGTCAGCAGAAAAGCTCGTATATGGCTGCCAAATCCCTGGTGGAGAACTTTTTTAAAAAATGCAGTTTTGGGTACTTTCGGAAGTGACAAAGGTAGCTCTAGGAATCATGGAAAACTCTATGGTTTGACCATAATTTTTTCAACATTTCCTGCATCTACCCATTGACACATCTGGCAAGTACTTTTGGTAAGTATACATGACCACATTTAAAAAATGTCTTATGATTCTGCACCCCCCCCCCCAAACCTACCACCAGTAGCCAGGCTCTGCCTGGCAACCTTAAGCTTGTAGGATCTAACCCACTGCAATGTGGAAATGCTTAAATAAAGAAGATACTTTTTTAAAAAAAGAACCCTTGGCATAAATGGACATATCATTCTAAAAGAATTTCACAAGAAAAAACTACAAAGGCCAGCTCCAGAGGAGTTTACAATCACATCCATGGAACTACCCATATTAACATCATGTGAAAAATTACTTGATATGTTTTCAAAAGAATATTTAAGTACCAGGTTTCTGTGTTATAGAAGTCTGTGTCCCAAGAACAATGAGGAACAAAGTCAGAAACATCTTCAGTTTGCGTACTGATGATCCAAGAGATAGACCTAGGAATACAAAAAACAAAAACAGCAACATCACAGCTTTATACCTCCAAATGAACTTGCAGCTGGAGTAGAAAATCAGTTGAAACTAACTAAGAACATAAGAACATAAGAGACACCAACGTTGGATCAGGCCAAAGGCCCATCCAGTCCAACACTCTGTGTCACACAGTGGCCAAAAATACCAGGTGCCATCAGGAGGTCCACCAGTGGGGCCAGGACATTAGAAGCCATCCCACTGTTGACCCCCCCCCCCAGCACCAAGAAGACAGAGCATCACTTGCCCCAGAGCCCCTATCTATACCTTGTGGCTAATAGCCACTGATGGATCTCTGCTCCATATGCTTATCTAATTCCCTTTTGAAGCCGTCCATGCTTGTAGCCGCCACCACTTCCTGTGGCAGTGAATTCCATGTGTTAATCACTCTTTGGGTGAAGAAGTACTTCCTTTTATCCGTTCTAACCCGACCACTCAGCAATTTCATTGAGTGCCCACGAGTTCTTATACTGTGAGAAAGGGAGAAAAGTACCTCGTTCCCTACCTGCTCTATCCCATGCATAATCTTATAAACCTTATAATGCAACTCAGTGTTGCAAGTGAAATCGAGTGTATTCTGAATCATTTATCGCCTCCTCAACCATTTATTGAATCACTTTAAGTAGAGAGAGAGGGAGAGGGTGCTAACACTTATACATCTACTTCTAAAATGGACTCAGGGTCTGATATAGTGACATGGAATCTGGCAGGTCAGTCCTATTCTATGAATGGGGTCTCTTCAGCAGTCAATGGAAATCCAACCACTCAAAACAAATATCAGCATGCATACAAATCTGCTTTTGGTAGCACACCTAATAGAAGAGATTCAGAGTAGTTGTGTCCAAGGACCTGAGGGGATTGCCCAGCAGGTTTTTAAATTATTCATTTGTTTAGCATCAAGCCCCCAACATTGCAACACAAACAGTTTTTAAAACTCTTCTCAGTCTGAAAATCATTTTACCATTTTGGAAGGGGTGTGCATTTCTGGACTCAAGCTGGTATTAAGAATCAACAATCATTCAGAGTTTATAATCAATAGGAAAGCGTAACTGATGAAGATTCAGGAACAAAAGTTTCATGGTTTCTTCTATGGCATGTGCCACTCTTTTTACTTTGGAAACATTTTTTTTTCTTTCTGGGTCTTTGCAGCATTGCTTCTCTGCCGTACAACCTGTGGCCCCTACTCTCTTCTTTTTGATGGCATCGTTCCCTGTCTCTCCTGGAATTACAATTGATTTACAGACGCCAGAGATCAGTTCCCCTGGAGAAAACGGCAGTTTGGAAAGGCGAACTCTATGCCATCATACCATGCTAAGGTCCCTCCCCTCCCCATGCCCCATGTAGTGTATTCAACTGTATGTATGTAAACTCACACATTCATACACCATGGAAAGCTTCGTCCTGGGCAAGGATCCTAATCACTCCAATTCCATTGGTAGCCCAGGAAGAACCATCCAATCACCTACCATCCAGTTCCATGAGAGGGAGCGATTGTGATTGGACCTTATTGTTACAACCTGATTGGTTGTTATTGTATAATAGGGCGTGGCTATATTAGCCGGGAGAGTTTAAAAGAAGAACAGCTTCAATGCTAAAGCTGTTCTGGCTATTCGAGTTGATCTGTTGGAGTTGTGTTACGTGTTGCTGAATAAAGCTGATCTTTTGCTGAAACACTCTCCGACTCCTTTGTTAAGTAGCCAACTTAACACCCCACCCTCCCAAGACTCCACCCCCCAAATCTCCAGGAATTTTCAAGCCCAGAGCTGGCAGACCTACCCCACCAGCCCTCAGAGCTAAAAATATTCTCCCTTTGCTCCTGTAACTAGACCCCCCCACCCATTCCATTGGCCGTCCTCAGATCCATTACCATACACCACAGTTGTTTCTAGGACTAGGCCAGGGGTGGCCAAACTTGCTTGACGTAAGAGCCACATAGAATAAACGCCAGATTTCGAGAGCCGCAAGACATGAACAAATATGACATGTTTTTACTGGCAAGTATGCAGATTTGCTTTTTATTAACATGAAATGAGATTGCCAAAAATGATAACAAAAGCGGTAAAAGCAAATATTGATAATTATATTTATTTGCCCAGTGAAATTTTTTGCTAATGATACTTAGCTTCCCCAGCCACCCTGCCAGGAGCCGCGTAATATGTGTAAAAGAGCCACATGCGGCTCCCGAGCCACAGTCTGGCCACCCCTAGACTAGGCTATCCCTCGCAATTGACTTAGAATGAAGGGGAAATGTTAAGGAAAGAAATATGCAAATTTTGCTGTATATTTTCATATCCTCTGGAATGTCAACAGCTACCCTACATTATGGCAGCAAGGGAGAAACAAGCAAACTCCCCCCACTTTGACTAACGAAGACATGTGCTCCATTTCCCTCCCTCTTTTAGGCTTAGATTTTATTTACCTCAACATTCCTCTACTCTAGCTGTCATGTTTTTTTTGTTCAAAAACTAGTATGTACAACAGATGGTTTATATAGGCTGATTATAGTTTGAAATGTATCCACATTTTTTCTGTCAAGAAACTTGATCATCAGTTTCAAAAATGTTATGCTATGTAATTTGTGAGGTATTGTTTCTCTTCTTGCCAATGGTTAATTAGATGTCTTTGAAACTGAAAACTAGTACAAAAAGCCAGTTCTCAGTACGTTTCAGAAAAAGTTCCAAGCGGGTGAAAACAAGGCTCTAAGGTGCCTGCAAATTCATATTTTCCGTTGGTTCCTGGAAAACGAATATACAGTGCCCCAACCTGCCACTTCAAATAGCACTGTTCTCACACACACGCCCTGGTTCTCTCTCTTGCCCTTTGTTGTAGCTCTGCTGATTGTTGCATGCATGCAGTACAAACGTGCAAGTCTGGGCCCAGGAATAAAAAGAGACTGAGGTTCAAATAAACAGGGAAACAAAAAGCAACAAAATGTGAGGAAACCAGTGGTGAAGACATGCCCTGTATCCTGTGGTTCAGTTTCAAATTAAAATGCAACTTATGAACATACTATGAAATCAGTTTAACATTTTATTAATTTTCCACATCTATATGCAAATTTAAATATACTTAGTTGGAACCTTTGGTACGTTTTTGTCCTTTTCCCCAGCAATCCTCTGGGCATGCCCAGAAGGTGATGTTGGAGGTCAGGGGACCCATTTAGTTCATAAAGACCATGCAATGTGGGAGAGAAGTACAGTGAGGAGAATCAAGCAATATTGCCCTTCCTGCCCCTTCTGCTAGCAGAGCCTCTTCCACTCAAGCAATGCTCCTTCCCAGGGTTGGGCTTGGCCAATGGGTAAGTAGGCCGTTAATGATAGGACATTTTGGAGGACATTGATTCATGATTCATGGGGTCACTATCAGGGGTCATTTCCTGTCACAGCGCAGCGTGGATCCAAAATAAAGGAGCCGGGGGTGCCCCCCCCCGCCACCATTCCTGGCCCGCCTGTACAGGTGGATGGGCCAGGGAAGGCCTACAGAGTCCCCTGCCACCTGGGGGGATTTAAATGCCTATCTTTCCCTTCCCTAGATGGGGAAGGGAAAGAAAGGCATTCTAAACATGCCTGGGTCCCCTGCCCGATCTCCTCCAGGTGCCCCGCAGCCGCAGGCCACCTGGAGAAGATCAGACAGGGAACCCAGGCATGCTTGCATGTCTGCCCTTTGCAAGGGTGTGTGACATATGCAAATTATTTATGCAAATGAGCTCCTGCACCTTTTCCCATGAAATGACCCCTGATCACTATAATTCAGAAGTGACTCCAAGGCACTTAAGGCAACTTATTTGTATACAAATACAATTAGGCAGCTGCCCTAACTGCCAAGTGCCCTGTGCCCAGAGAGAGGACAAGAAAAAGCACAGACTCCCACCAGTAGGGATTGGCATGAAAGCCCTGCCCCCTGGCCCAGAGAGAGGACAAGAAAAAGTGCAGACTCCCACCAGTAGGGATTGGCATGAACCAGGAAAATTCAGTTTGTTTTTATGGTTTGTGGCATGCCCAGTTCACAAAAGATGTACCGTCATGATTTTTTAGGCATCAAACAGACTGGTTCAGTTAATGAGGTTCGTGACACGGTAGAACACCCCCTGGTGTGCTAGAGACACTGAACTTGCAGGAGCTCTCCAGCCGACTCTCCTCTACCTGACCTCCAAGTTTGGTGAAGATTGGATTTCAGGGATTTGAGTTACAGCCCCACAAAGAAGGTGCCCCCAGGAAAGTGCTTCCTGGGGAAATGACAGGCGCAGGTTCCAGAGGTTGTTGTTTCTCTGCTGCTCTTTTCAGTTTCAAATTACTCTTGTCTATCTGTGGTTTCTCTGCTGCTCTTTTCAGTTTCAAATTACTCTTGTCCTCCTGTGCTTTGAAGTCTCCTATGTTCCTTTGTGTTCCCATTTTCTTGCACAGAGCATGCAAAATCCCTCCCCCCCCCTCCAGCTTGGATTTCTGGTGACAATGTGCTTTGAGATTGATCAGTCCTTTTAAGCTTGCGTTGCCACAGTAATATTGGATTCTGCTGGGCATTCTGTACACTGAACTGGTTGTGCTGGACTTGAAAAAATGCCCCTTCTTCAGTTTGTACTGCAGGGATTCTGTGGTTTAACATTAGTCCTCTTTTGCTTGCATTGCTGCAGTTATAGAAGTCTAAGGAACAGCTCAGGGACAAGGCAGTGGCACCAAGCTTACAGCAAAACTCCCCCCTCGTCACTTTGAAGTTTGGTAAACATTTACTGAGCAGAGACAGTCTGTCGGGAAATGTATCCATTCACGAACTGCAATGAACCTCTACAAGCAGCTTCAAAGTTCGTGGAAAGTTTGTGCCAGTTGACCTGTCATGAACGTGACTTTGCAAATCACAAACTGGCCAAAATTCATTATGAACTTTAGTATGTGAGCCAGTTCGTGCCCATCCCTACCCACCACTACTGCATTTGCATCTGTCTGCTCTAGGTCTCAGGTAGCTTGCTGCACTGTGGCAGCTGCTCACACTTGCCCCATCCAGGGCTTGGCCAGCCAGGTTCTGGTGGTAGCTCCTGCCCACCTCACATGGGGCGAGGGCTGCTCCCTGCTTGATCCCACAGGGGGTGGCCCCATCCTGAACTTGTGACCAGGGCCCTAGAATCACTAAGATGGCTCCTTCTCCTTCCCCCATACAATTTTCTTGTACCAAATGACCCCAGGAGTTGCATGTATAAGTAGACATGCTGACCCGTGCCAGAGCAAGTAACATCCCCAGGAGTCATTGTAACTCATGAAACCTGTTCAAGGCAAAGCAAGATTCCCCTCCTTCCCCCACACCTGGTTCTGATCCTAACTGGGCCCCTCCGGCACTTCTAAATGGAGTTGCTACCAAGAACTCACAGCTGCAAGTCCCCCTGGTGAATTCATGTGCAATGTAACATCTAGTCTGGCCCTTAGTTTCATGGGAGATTTGAACTTGGGTGTCCCAGTCCAGATCCTACTCCAACCCTCTAAACATTAACCTAAACAGAAATGTTTAAGTTGGGACATTAGATTGCTGTTATATTTTGCCTGAATTTATCATCTGCACCCACTTTTATACACGGCTTTACAGATGCTTTAGTACATATGAAAGTTGCAGCTGGAACAATTTTAGATAGTTTACTTCATTGCTTTTTAATAGATAAATGAAATTAATTTCTCCTTTTGTGCGGGGAAGGGGGACGGTTTATACAAAAATAGAGCTTTAAGTAATCAGTTCCAATTAAACTCTGAACTATACTCAAAAGCATCCAATCAAGTACAGCAAAATGAACTTTTCAAGAGTTAATGCTTTGATTCCTACATAGGTGTTACATACAATAAAACAAATAAAGATTATTTTACTACTAATGTCTCCGAAATGATCCAGCTCAATTCAGTTGTGATTATGATTAACTTCTTCCAGTGGTTCTAACAGAATTTAGCCTTGGCTAATTTTAGCCAGATCAAGCTCTCCTATATTAATATAATTTCTAAAAGTAACATATAATGCAGTTAGCAATAGTAATATAGAATAGAATAGATGTCGATAACCTTCCATTTATATCTAATGGAGAGGAAAAACTAAAGATACTAGACTATGAAATAATCAAATACCATTATTGTGCTATCAAAATGCTAAACTTTGACATATAGTGAAAGCTGTATGTCTATGTTAAACATCTGTCAGTCAATGCAAACAATTTGGTGATCATTATAAGGGAGAGAGCAGATGACAGAATTTCTTAATTCAATGTGTGTTTCTCTGGCTGTATCTATTACATGCGTATTTTGATGTTACATTTTATTGGAAATTCTTCCTTAATTAATTTTTTTCTCAGAATTGCAGTAAGCAAAATTAGGAGATAAGTCTCTCCTATGTTTTGCGTTTTGCCCTAGTTTATTCACCCTTAAAAAAAAAAAAGTGTGCGTGAAAGAGGACAACGGTGCAATCCTATACAGAGCTACAGCCTTCAAATTCATTTGAAGTCAATTGGCTTAGAACAGCGGTTCTCAACCTGTGTGTCGCAACCCCTTTGGGGGTCGAACGACCCTTTCACAGGGGTCGCCTAAGACCATCGGAAAACACAAATTTTCAATGGTCTTATGATAGCAAAGAGAATAATTTTATGGTTGGGGGTCACCACAACATGAGGAACTGTATTAAAGGGTCGCAGCATTAGGAAGGTTGAGAACCACTGGCTTAGAAGGACATACCACTGCACTTAGCATTGCCCCATAAAGAAGAAATATTCAGAATTCACCAGTGCATCACCTAGAAACTGATGGTGGTGGTGGTGGGGCATCTATAATATTTTCTAAAAGCTAGGAAAAGCAGATTTGTGTCACACTGGTTCATTTTAAAACGTTTCTAAACCACCTTCTCAACCAGATCTCTGTGGTGGTTTTCACCAAAACGTTTAAGGTTCAGTGGTGGGGGGCAGCAAGAGTGCGCGATCAACTCATGCTTAAATTCCCTGCTGGGGAAAAAAATGACACTTAACAGTGCTTTACTTGGGATGAACACATTTGTATTGATATGTTTTTCTTTACCTCTGCAGGCAAGTGCAATAAAGAAGAAGGGCAGTGGTAAAGGTAAGGGGAGCTGTCATGGAAACCTTGTGCTGGAAAGGTGGGGTGTGAATAGTTTGGACAAGACCAGCAAGCACAAATGGTTACAGTTCCACAAGGATAGAGTAATTATCCTTAAAACAAATATTGAAACAAACACCAGAAATTAAGATCTGAGATCCAATTCAAACATGCATACCCAGAGACCACAAGATTTGTAAAGACTTGTACCTTTATACCTTTGACATCATTGGATGGGCACTGAAACAAATCCCTCTATCCATGGAAAACGTTATTTTCACATTTGCACTTTAGGAGAAGTTTCCTGATCTAGCAAATAGCTTTAAAACATGTCAACAGGGACTAAACCTGAGACAATTGAACAGCCTTTGATAAGCAGCAAAAGAAGACACTTACCAACTAACAAGATGTTCATTGCTCCATCTCTTGCAAAGTGGCCTCAGGAAAGACTGACCCTTTTATGAGCAGCTCTGACAGCAGCATCCCATAAATCTATTCACAAGGCAGCAGTTAGCAGAGTCGATTGCCAGACCAAGGATCCCAAAGCTACTCAAAGGGAGCAGCCTCCCTCCCCAGCCCACTCTCCTCTTTCCATTGCGTCATCCGTTATTAATCCACTGTCAAAAACCAAACTGGCAAAGGTGGAGCTTGCATTGCACATGGCATGAGCTCTTAGAGGCTCTCTTCTCTCCTTTTTTGAAACAAAAAGAAATCACTTTCAATTTCAGCGCTGATTTCTTCCTATAATTACGCTGTTTAAAGTTTGACAGAGGAGGGCATTGTTCTTTCTAGTTTGTAAATGCTGTTCAGGAGGCTGATATCTTATCTCTCCCCCCCCCTGCCCCTCTCATGTCACTTAGTTTTCCTCACCAGGCTGCTTCTTATCACAAGCTTGATCTTATTAGCCAAATAACACAGCAACACCCCCCCAAGGGCTCTTCTTGGAGAAGCATCTGGAGAACTTGGCACGACACCTTAGAAAATAACACAGGGGAGTGGGGGGTAATGTGTTTGTACAACTGTAGGTTCCTTTCTGAAGACCAGAAAGACGCAAGATTCAAGGCTCTTCTGCACAATCAGTTTTTGCACACTTGTTTCCCAGTGACATGCAGTCTGTGCAACTGCCAAAAGCATACCCAGCTGGGCTCCCAGGCTGTGCAGCCACCACTGGGCCCAGTGTGGCTCCCAGGCCGCACCAGTGCTGATGGAGCCAGCGCAGCTCCTGGCAGAGTTACTGCTGCTGCTGGTCCCAGCCTGACTCCCAGATTGTGCTGCTGCCAGTGGAATGCTCTTTGTGGCTACCCAACTGCGTGGCCGCAGCCAAGTCCAGAAGGGTTCTCAGGCTGTGCCACCACTGCTGGATCCAGCATGGCTCATGGCCTCTTCCAACTGGTGGAGGTGTGTTCTCTGGGACTGAAACCCCGCCGTGTACTTTTAAAAACATTTCAGATTTTTCTGCATCCCTGAGGAGTCCCCTAAGGGTGCAGAAAGATCTGCTGAGTCTCCGTGTGGCCCCAATCTGAAGATTTAGCTATCCACAAATGGTGGCCACGGGTGGCTAATAGTATATAGATACACACACACACACACACAATTACATAAAACTTCACTAGATGCATGGATAGGATAGAAATTGACTTCTGCTAAGACCATGTTTCCAAGGATGGTGGGCAGTGAAGAGATGAAGACGGTCACTACAAACTAAGACTTGTAAAATAAAAATCAAGCAGCATAAAAATAAGAGCATATAATATAAGCAAGCTTAATTTTAGCTTCTGATAGTTTTTACTTCCCTAACACACTTCTGCCCCTCTTTGTTAAAGCTCAACTTCTAAATTCTAATTTAAGGACCGATTCCCACATTATAGAGTACATGGTGTAGGAAGAGGAAGCTGAAGCCCCTTTCCACATGTGTTGCAGTCCTGATCCAGATTCCTCAAAAGTGTAGAGAACCCATAATTCATATCTAATGGTTCTACAGGGTGGGGACCCTGGGCCAAACCTGTGTACTCATTAACATGTGAATTGGAGTAGCTAAGGATTGTCATAGCGGTCTGATCAGGAGCCCAAGGACCAGTGCATCAGGACCACCCACAACACGCAGAGACCCTGAACTACTTGCTTGTCTCCTGGAAAGCCAATGAGTGTTTCTACTCACAAACACCTTTATCCACAAGGGTCTTTATGAATATAGGGTTGCCGGGACCCCCCGGCCATTGGTGGGGGATGGGGGTAGGGTTGCTAGATCCAGGCTAGGAAACGCCTAGAAATTAGGGATGCAACCTGGGGAGGGCAGTGGGTACAATGGGGTATGGTGTCACTCTGCGGTACAGTGCCACAGAGTCCACCCTCCAAAGCATCCATTTTCTCCAGGGGAACTGATCTCAATAGACTGGAGATGAGCTGCAATTCCAGGGGATCCCAAGGTCCTACCTGGAGGCTGGCATCTCTATTATGATAAAAGCCTCAGATTTATATTGTGCCACAAACATCTGTCCAGTGGAAGACCAGCTGGAGTGTTTCAAGGCATTTTGTTATCACAAATCAGTATTTGCATAAGTAAGAACTGGTGGGCTCAATAGGAATGCCAGTCCCCAAGTGGGGGCGGGGGAGCCCCCGATTTTGTGGGCTTCTGCCCATCACTGGCCCCGCCCCCTAGAGTGACCACCAGCAGTTTAAAAGGGCACTCAAGAGTGGTACCTTTAGCACTTTTTCAGGCACGCGTGGCCCCCACTTCCTGCAAACAACATTCAAAGGGTTCCTTTAAGTGCTGTTTGAAAGAAGGGGAGGCTGGAGTTCAGGTGTGCGGGGCGCTGCTCCCCAGTGTGATGATGTCACTTCTGTGTGATGTCATCATGTTGGGGATGTCCCCTCCCCCTCCAGGAAACGCCCTCCCAAAGTCTCCTGCCAGCAAGGAGGAAGGACCTGGCACTAGCTCAAAGCTGGGAACTTGATGGCTCCTTTCTGCCCCCCCCCTTCTGCCAGCTACGAGTTTGCGGCTGGGCTCCTGTACTTGGACAGAGTATAGTCACAACAGATGCAATATTGAGTGGATTCCTGGGTGGGCATTTCTCCACAACCTGTATAAATAGTTCTGACAAAGACATCTCTAGGGCTGTCTCATATAAAGGGAACTCAGCTCTCCACTTGGAGAAGACAAGAGCACATAAAGATACTATTAGACCGTGCTTGATCACACAGAAAGACCCTCAAACAGAGTTTGGCTTTACTGCAATAATAATGTCCCAACAAGAAAAGCTGGGGAGGGGCCATGGCTCAGTGGCAGAACACCTCCTTGGAATGCAGAAAGTCCCAGGTTCAGTCCCCAGCATCTCCTGTTACAAGGATCTGGTTGTAGGTGATGTGAAAGATCTCTGCCCAAGCCCATAGAGAGCTGCTGCCAGTCTGAGTAGACAATACCGACTCTGATGGACCAAAGGTCTGATCGAGTATAAAGCAGCTTCATGTGTACATGGGTTCAGAATTAAACTAGGCCCAACCTGTGTAAAAAGAGTAGTAAAATCCAGGTTGAAGCTGTCTTTGATTCTGTCACTGTGTACGGTCAATTTCTAAACATAAGAAGTTGGCACAAACTGTGAAATAGTGGCTAGAAATTGTTGAAAAATAGTTTCTGACCACTGGGAGATTTCTGGTGAAGTGAAAGATATGGAATAAGATGATGAAGTAGGAGCTATAACATTCTGGCACTGTGAAAATCAACAGGAAACTAAAACAAGGGTCTTTGAACTTAAACTGAAGTTCACTGTTTCATTTTCATGAAAAGAATTCCCGCTTAAAACATTTTACAACATGGTTTATTTCAGCTAATTATGTATGGACTAATTGAGTAGTTAAATTCCTATGTAATAATTTTTCATCCAAGAATTAACTGTTCGGGTTCTTGCAAGCAGACCATGGCAATGCTTCCGTGTTGAAGATTTCAGAGGAGATCTGGGAAACGACGAGCTCGTCAGTCTAATGTTGATACCGGGTAAGTTGGTGGAATCAATTATTAAAGATAGAATTAGTAGGCACATTGATGAACAAAAGCTACTGAGGAAGAATCAGCATGGATTCTGTAAGGGAAGATCTTGTCTCACTAAACTTTGAGAGTCCTTTGAGGGGGTGAACAAGCATGAAGACAAGGGTGACCCAGTAGATGTTGTTTACTTAAGACTTCCAGAAAGCTTTTTTTTTTAATTTTATAACTTTTATTAAATAACTATCAAGTTACAGAAAGCTTTTGATAAAGTTCCTCATCAAAGGTACCTAAGTAAACTCAGCAGTCATGGGATAAGAGGACAAGTCCTCTTGTCGATTAAAAACTGGTTAATTAACAGGAAACAGAGTGAGTATAAATGGGCAGTTTTCACAGTGGAAGGTGGTAAGCAGTGGGGTACCACAGGGCTTGGTACTAGGTCCGGTGCTCTTTAACTTGCTTGTCAATGATTTGGAATTGGGAGTAAGCTGTGAAATAGCTAAGTTTGCAGACGACACTAAGTTGTTCAGGGTGGTGAGAACCAGGGAGGACTGTGAGGTGCTCCAGAGGGATCTGTTGAGGTTGGGAATGTGGACATCAACGTGGCAGATGAGGTTCAGTGTGGGCAAGTGCAAAGTAATGCACATGGGAGTAAAAAATCCTAACTATAAATATACGTTAATGGGGTCCAAACTGATGGTAACAGACCAGGAGAGATCTTGGGGTTGTGATAGATAACTCACTGAAGATGTTGACTCAGTGTGTGACTGCAATAAAAAAGGCAAATGCTATGCTGGGGATTATTAGGAAGGGAATTGAAAACAACTCAGCCAGTATCATAATGCTCCTGTATAAATCTATGGTGCTGCCTCATTTGGAATACTGTGTACACTGTACCTCAAAAAAGATATTATAGCTTTGGAAAAGGTGCAGAAAAGGGCAACTAAAATGAAGTGCAGAAAAGGGCAACTTGGATGATAAAAGGGTTGGAACACTTTCCCTATGAGGAAAGGTTAAGGTGCTTAGGGCTCGTTAGCTTGGAGAAATGACGACTGAGGGGTGATATGACTGAGGTTTACAAGATTATGCATGGGATAGAGCAGGTAGAGAAAGAAGTACTTTTCTCCCTTTCTCACAATACAAGAATTCATGGGCACTCAATGAAATTAATGAGCAGTAGGCTTGGAACAGATAAAAGGAAGTACTTCTTCAGCCAAAGAGTAATTAACACGTGGAATTCACTGCCACAGGAAATGATGGGAACTACGAGCACTGACAGTTTCAAGAAGGGATTGGATGATCATATGAAGCAGAGGTCCCTGAACGGCTATTAGCCACCACGTATATATGTACACTATGTCTGGGGCCACGATGCTCTGTATTCTTGGTACTTGGGGGGCAAGAGTGGGAGGGCTTCTGGAGTTCTGGCCCCACTG